GGGGGGGGGGCTGCTTAGGGCTCAGATGGTGATGCTATTCTCGATGCGTCCAGGCTTCAGGTATTCATAAGGCAGGTCAACCTGCTCATTCCGAGCTGTCATCTCCTTTTCCAGGGTTTTCAGGGCTGTTTGGAATCGCATCAGCACAGCCTCCACTTCCGGGCTTGAGAAATACTTCTCTTTGTGATGTCCCAGAGGCACCTGAGACAGAGCCAAGATCAGTTAGCTTCCAGCCCCGAGACCTACAGCCTCGCCTCACTGTGATCCTTCCCTTCCGACACTCCCCCCCTTCCCAGAATCCCTTCTTACCATATCTGGTTGCTGTCGACCCAGATGCCATGTGATGGTCATTTGAAGACAGGCCTGCTGTACATCAGGTAATGACCCCATCACGGTGGCCATTGTGATATCTTCCTTGGTGGTGGGTGGGGGCATCCGCATGGTGCATGGGGCATTAGGGACCCAGGCATACCAGTCCACCTGGGGGAAGAAATTGCAACCATAGCAACCCTGGTACTTAAGGTCCTGACCTTTCCCCCTCTCCCTTGGGCAACCCAAGATCCAGGCACTTGCCCTCAAAGACCTGGGCTGTCAGTTGTCCATACCTGGCCCTGGTTGATGGCAGCGTGCTGGGCGGTACTTGTGAAAATACACATGGTAAGGAAGTGGCAGAGCTGATCCCGGGTCTGGAAGGAAACAGGGAAGCCTGGGATGGAAAGGAACAGGTTTTAGACAGGGTTTCAATCCAAGCTCAGCCCCATGTGTTTCAGAGTGGAGTTACACTCCAGAGGCTTTTCAAGAACTGTAATCCTAGGCAAGAAAATCACCAGGCCTTTTTTTTGTGGCACCACGATTTGGACTTCCAACTTCTTGTTTAATGACTGGGGGGCAAACCGTTTCTACTACTCAAGGACCTATAGCTTGGGTAACCTTTGGCGAATTATTTAATCTCTGAACCTCAGTTTCTTCACCTGTGTAAATGTCTGCCCTCCTACCTCCTAAACAAGGAGACCTGCTCGTGCAAACGGTTAAACGCTTGCCTGCTAATGGAACGATCCTACAAAGGCAGAGGAGAGATTTCATTTTTTTGGTCAGAAGAAGGGAGAGGTCAGGGACTGAGTGATGATTCAAAGCAGTCCAACCTGCTTCCATGTGTGCTAGAGAAAAGAGTCTGAACCCGGAATGAGCAACAGGGGCGGTTTCTTCCTCACAGATTCAAATGGGCGAGGGAATAAAGATAATGACTGGGCAGTAGTGAGGAGGGTGGACTGGCCCAAACATCTGAACCTTGGAGTTCAGGCACCGAGTTCAGATTTACTATATTGTCTTTGCATCCTGAAATGACCCTGCCCTGTGGTAAGCGTGGGCCACCTGTGTGGGCAGACAGAGTGGGACAGCATGGACTTCTGTGAGGACATTTCCCCACTGATACCCTTGGGGAGGGAGGGAGGGAGGGAACCACGGAGGGATCAGAAGGACCCAGACAGAAACCCTTCACTGAGTGATGCTAGCCTGGTTGGGCTCCACCCTGGATGGCAGGCCAGGGGCCTCTGTGACTGGCTAGGGGGAGAGAGTAGTGGTTGATGGCCAAGGTGTCTAGAGGCCATTCCCTGAGTATCCAGAATTGTCCTCAGCTGGGACCGTCTGTGTCTTGGGGGTGAATGGGATGGGGAGGCTTTGGCGTGTGATGAAGGCTGAGGGTCTTGTGTCTCCTAGGGCCAGGCTGAGAGGAGCTCTCCTGTCTGGAGGAGGGATCGTACCTCGGTTCTGGGCCTGGCATAGCCCCACCTCCGTGATCTCCCGACACCAGGCCTGCAGCTCAGGGTCTTGTCTCACGACATCATCCTTTTGATAGAAGATGTGGATGATCCCTTCCACGTACCTGCCATTGGGGGTGGGGGGTGGGGGGGAGGGGTGACCTCTAGGAGAACAGGAGGCTCTGATTGCTACTGTCCTCTGTGGCCTCTGCTTGCATCTCAGGACAAATGAATGCCCCCAGATTTGTCTCTCCCATCCCCACCCCCCAACAGTTTTATTGGCATGCAATTCACATATCATCAAATTCAATAGTTCGGTCACGACAAGAAGAGTTGCACAATCACCACAACCAGTTTGGGAACATTTTCTTCATTCTTGTACTCCTTGTTCTTTGCTCCCTATTTCCCCCCAACCTCTCCTGCCAGACCCCAAAGAACCTTTCATCTAGTTATTGTCTCTGCAGATTTGCCTGTCCGGGATTTCACAGACAGAAGAACATTAGAAACAAACACACACACATACACACACAACTAACAAGAATAACAAAGCAAAACAGATAAAAAACCTCAAAAAAAGAAAGCGGGAAATATTTAAAACGTGAACAAATTTAAATGGATCATCAAGGAGATCAAGTGATAGGGTGCTACATGTTAACCTAACTGCATCTGCCACGCCAGACTTGTGTTTTGAATGGTCCCAGCCCTTGCTTGCTATTAACTAGTGTAGAGAGGGCAGGGAAATGAGCCCTTAGTTCTTGGATGTCCCGATCCAAGTATACCACATGGTCTTGCTAACAAAGCTCCTGCTCGCTGCAGACCCCACAGTCTCACCCCCCCACCCCCCCCACCGGGGTTCCCTGCCTCATGACAGTCTCTTCCTGTCCAATCCTTCCCGTCACTGCCTCACTAAACTTTTTCTAAGCTTCATGTTTCTGCAACTCCTGGTTAGAACCCTTGGTCTTCTCCTTTTAACAATGTTCTTTTCCTCATGCAGACCGGGCAGGAAGAGCTTCCCTGTGCTTACAGCCACCGCCCGTTCACCGCTCGGTTCCCACTGTCACCCACCGGGCAATCATCCCCCAGAGCTGCAGAGCATCGTGGGCATAGACAGCCCCGCGGAGTCCCAGCAGGCCCCGCTCAGCCAGGTCGTCGGGAACACAGAGGGAGCAGTAGGTCAGCTGCGCCAATGCCCGCTGCAGCAAGACCACGTGGCCACCGCCGCCTGTGTTCATGGCCTGGGGCAAGAGAGTTGAGAGGTCTTGAGGGGAAGGTCTTAGGGTCCTGGAATAGTCTACAAAGGGTTCAGCCATTGGCTTTGAAGACTGAAGTTGTGGGGTTCCCAGGGGCAGGGCAGTCACATATTCATAGACAGGCTCTGGGACCCGGAAGGGTCGGTCACAGAGAGGTCAGGGCCCCACAGCTCATTCCTTCCTTACCCACCTTATCAAATACGCCTCCATCGGAGATGAGTTGGGCCCGAGCACGGGTGTTGATTTCCATGGTGTAGCGGATGTGGGGCATCAGGAGCTGGGGTGCAGAGGAGTGGGAGAGATGGTTTTGGAGGCCATGCCTTGTAGGGAGTGGGACCCAGGTGGTGGGTGCCCTTCACTTTTCTGCATGCCTTCCTCCTTGCAGCTGCCTGGACAGCCGGGTCTCCCCTTTCTCTGGTCCCTCACCCTCATGCTCTCTGCTGCCCCCGTGTGTTGCGCTCTGGAACTGTGCTGACCAGGGTTAGAATCTGTGGTTCATCACTTCTGTGGCTTAGGCAATAAACCTTCTAACGGGCGACTTACTCACTTGTCCAATGGGAATGATAGGGTCAGTCTCTTCCCCCCAGCAGCTGTGGTGATGCTTATGGGAGGGTAAGTAATGAAGAGGTTTTAGCGTTGGCCTGCCACGCCCAAGTCCTCAAATAGTTACCATTGCCTTTATTATTTCCACCTTGAATGTCCGCTCAGAATCACTCCTTAACATTTGATGTGCGTTGCTACTTCCTCTCTCATTCACATCCTCAAAGCAGACCTGTGGTTGTTTTATTCAAATTTAGGGATTTGGGTTTGTTGGTTGGTTTTATCTCCGGTCAGAGTGGGAGGAGCTTTATAGAGCTAGCTCCTTCTGCAGCCAAGGGGCTTCATCAGTCTGCTGCAGCCTCTATGAAAGCTGAAACCAAGCTCACTGCTCCCTCCCCGTGGCCCTTCAGGACAGGGCAGAGCTGCTCCCTGACTTTCTGAGACTGTAACCCTTCACAGGAGTAGAAAGCCCCGTGCTTCTCTTTTGGAGCGGCTGGTGATTTCAGACAGTGCACTCTGCAGTTAGCTCCCCAGCGTGTAAGCACTGGGCCCACAGCATCAATTCCAAAAAGTCAAACTCACTTTTGGGGCAAAAAGAGCCAAAGCCACAGAATCAATGCTGACTCAGAGCGACCCCTACTGTGGGTTTCTGAGACTGCAACTGTTCCCGGGAGGAGAAAGGTCAGCCCCTGCAGAGCGGCTGCTGGCTTCCAACTGTGGACCTTGCGGATCACAGCCCAATGCGTCACCAGTGCACCACTACTGTTATCACAGCCCTACTGCACGTTTAGGTACTATTAGATAAAACAAATGCCCACCGCCATCCAGCCAATTCTGACTCCTGGCAACCTCAGATAGAGTTTCCAAGACTAAATCTTTATGGGAGCAGACAACGTCACCTTTCCCCCACAGAGCAGCTGGTGGGTTTGAACTACTGACTTTAGGCCAATACGCAACCCACTACGCAAGGCTCCTAGGCACTGTTAGCCCTTAGCTAAGCCTTTGCTTACCTTGTCAAAAAGGCTGCCTGATCTTCACATGCATCTCCTGGGTCTTAGACTATTTTGTCTCATATTGCCCTGGTTGGTATATAGGATCCATGCAACTTAGGTATTTATCTGACGTATTCAAACCATATGTTGAGCAGATAATTTAAGAAGCTGGATTTGGGAGGAAGATTCCCTGACCACTTGCAGTATCCAGATGACACGACTTTGCCCTGTTGAAAGTGAAGAGGACTTGCAACCCTTGTTGACAACGTTCAAGGACTACAGCCTTCAGGGTGGAGGACACGTCAACCCTTACAACTGGACCAGTCAGTGACATCATGGAAAGACGAAGGTTGCCAAAGATTCCCTCTACCTGGGACCCATGGAAGCAGCGGCTGAGGAAGCACCGGGCATTGCAGTGGGAAGGCCTGCACAAAAGCTTTTCAAGGACTTTATAGCGTCTGAAAGGAAAGGTGTCCCTTTGATGACTAAGCTGCCTCTGACCCCAAGCCATGGTATTTTCCATCACCACATCCGCATAAGCACAGGAGAGCCGAATGGTGAACAAAAGAAGACTCTAGGATTGACAACAGGGGTCCTCCACCTTCCTCACGCCGTGACCCTTTCCTACAGTTCCTCATGTGGTGGTGACCCCCCAATCGTAGAATTATTTTCCTTGCTACTTCATTGCTGTCATTTTGTTACTGTCATGAATCGACCCCAAAGGGGTCGCGACCCACAGGTTGAGAACCGCTGATTTGCACAAATGGCTGATGGTGTTGGTGAAGGATATTAACTCTCCCATGACCTGTCAGAAGAAGGCACATAGCTGTCTTGGAAGAGGTATAGCCAGAAACTCCTTAGAAGAGAGAATAGTGAGAACTAATCCCTCGAGAAGGACAGCATGCTTGGTAAAGTAGATGATAAGCAAAAAGGAGGAAGCCCCTCACCAAGATGGATTGACAATGGCTGTCACAAGGGGTACCAGCATGCCCACTATTGTGAGGTTGGCAAAGGACCAGACACTGGTTTATTTTGTTCCACACGGGGTCATGATGGGTTGCAGCTGAGTCAACAGTACCTAACAACAACAACAACAACACCAACAACAACACCAACAACAGCGTTTGACTAGATCCTGAACACAAACTTGATCCTGGCTCCTGCCAACCGATGCCCTAGGTCAGAAACTTACAAACATTTTATGGAAAGATGCTATGAGTGTCCTGAAACTCCCAGAATTCACACGAGGAGGGGAGATGCCTGATGACAAACATTCCTCCTCCTCGTAAGAATTATATTTTGGGGGAGCATTTAGTCTCTGTCACACCATTTGGTTATGCCATTTAATCCGAACAACCCCTGATAGAGAGCTGGTGACCTTCCTTTAGAGGAGGACACTGCAGCACACACACGGTGAGACTCATCCAGTATTCAGACTCGGACCCTCATAATCCAGGGCCCAACTGTGTGTGCTAGTAATGACTCAGCTGTTTGCTATGGAGACAGGTGAGGAGGAGCTGAACTAGTAAGAGGAGGTTTAGGTGTGAAGAGTAGCTTGACCTGTTCAGGGCAGAAGATAGTGATGCAGGAGACATCTGGAGATCAATAAACCCAAGACCATTCACCAGTCCGGTCTCCCTCAGTCTATGTTTCCCAGAACCCAAAGAGACCACACTTACTCTTGACTGGATTTTGGGGTGGGGGTGAAAGGCCCTGCAGGAACACATTCTCTTATTATATATGCTAAGTGCTCACCTGAAACCTTGCCATTGTTTAAAACACCTATGTCTACAACTGAACACCTTGTCTTTGACCTTAAATGGGCTTCTTTTCATGATGGGACTGTTTCTGACAGTTCCTCTGGTTCAAATGATTTCAAAAACACTTTAAAACTCTCATAAGTCTAATTTTGTCTTCTGTATAACAATGGAAACTAGACATACCATTGAAAAAATTATAGTAGAGACACCACCACACGGGGGTGGGGGGAAACACTAAGGGTATGCAATAGAACAGCAAGGGGAGCAAAGCAATGAAGTCCCCGGGGAATACCAAAAATAGACTGTGCAGCCAGAGTGTGGCACCCCATCAGATTCAACCGGAAAACACTCCTGAGGGTCAACAAACAGACCTGGAACTATTTATAGGCTTTTTTTTTGGGGGGGGGGCATTGTTTTTTGTGGTTGTTGTTTTGTTTTCTTTTATTGCTTTGTTTTGCTCTTATTTTTGTGCATATTATTGCCTCTACATGTCTATCTAGATAAGATAGGTGGGATAAACAAGCTGGAAGAGAAAACAATGGGACTGACGGTTCTGGAGGCACACGGGAGAAGGGCAGGTGGGGGAAAGGAAGTGGGTATTAACAAACCAGGGGCAAGGGAGCAACAAGTGATCCAAAATTGATGGCGAGGAGGGTGTAGGATGCCTAGTTGGGCTTGATCAAGGGAATGTAACCGAGAGGAATTACTGGACCCCAAATGAAGGCTGAACATGATAGCAGGGTAAGAGGAAAGTAAAAGGAAATAGAGGAAATAACTAGGAGGCAAAAGGCATTTATAGAGGTCTATATACAGGCATGTACATATGTAAATATATTTATATATGATGATGGGGAAATAGATCTATGTACTGTACATATATTTATAGGTTTAGTATTAAGGGAGCAGATGGACATTGGGCCTCTACTCAAGTACTCCCTCAATGCAAGAATACTATGTTCTAATAACTGGGCATTCTGTGATGCTCACCTTCCTGACACGATCACTGAACTCAAAATGGGTGCATAAGCAAATGTGGCAAAGAAAGCTGATGGTGCCCAGTTATCAAAATATATAGCATCTGGGGTCTAAAAGGCTTGAAGACAAGCAGCCATCTAGTTGAGAAGCAATAAAGTCCACATGGAAGAAGCACACCAGCCTATGTGATCAAGAGGTGTTGATAGAATTAGGTATAAGGTATCAAAGACCCAGAACAAAAAATCATATCATTGTGAATGAGGGGGAGTGCAGAGTGGAGACCTAAAGCCCATCTGTAGACAATTGGACATCCCCTTACAGAAGGGTCACAAGGAAGAGACAAGTCAGTCAGGGTGCAGTATAGCACCGATGAATACACAATTGTTCTCTAGTTCTTTAATGCATCTCCCCAACCCCCACTATCATGATCCCAATTCTACCTTACAAATCCGGCTAGACCACAGCATGTACACAGGTACAGATAAGAGCTGGAAACACAGGGAATCCAAGACAGATAAACCCTTCAGGACCAATATTGAGAGTAGTGATACCAGGAGGGTAGGGGGGACAGAAGGGGAACCTACCACAATGATCAACATATAACCCCCTCCCAGTGGGATGGATAACAGAAAAGTGGGTGAAGGGAGCCATCAGTCAGTTTAAGACATGAAAAAATAAAAATAATTATAAATTATCAAGGGTTCATGAAGGTAGGAAGGTAGGGGACGGAAAGGGGAAAAAAAGAGGAGCTAATGCCAAGGGCTCAAGTAGAAAGAAAATATTTTGAAAATGATGATGGCAACATATGTACAAATGTGCCTGACACAATGGGTAGATGTGTGGATTATGATAAGAGTTGTATGACCCCCCCAATAAAATGATTTAAAAAATTATAGATGTTTGGAAAAACATAAAAAATAATGTAGAGGTTGGCAAAACGTTCTTTGGGCTCTGCCCACTCAAGCCCATTGTCTCCAGTTGACTCTGACTCCAGGAGGCTCTGCAGGCCGAGTAGAACTGTTCCACAAGGTTTTGAAGGATGCCCAGAGCAGACTGCTTTATCTTGCTCCCACAAAGTAGTTGGTGGTTTTAAACCCTTGACCTTGCAGTTAGCAGCCCAACCCTCAACCCATTGTTCCACCTAGCTATTGCAAACCACAAACCAAACTTGTTGCCATTAAGTCAATGCTAACGCATAGCGGCCCTATAGGACAGGGTAGAACTCTCCCATGTGACTTTCTGAGACTGTAACTCTTTTGGGGAGTTGAAAGGCCCGTCATTCTCCTGTGGAGTAGCTGGTGGTTTCGAACTGCCGACCTTGCAGTGAGCAGCCCAACGTGTAACCACTGTGCCATGAAGGCTCCTTTTTCCTGTCACCAAGACTTTTTTTTTTGGCCTTCCACTCCCATCACCACCCTGCGAATGTATGCATTTACTCCTCTCTTGGACATGTATTAGTATCCCTGCTGGGCTACTCTCCTTGCAGTAAACAACTCTGCTTCTACTTAGAAGACTCTTTGCTTGGGTTGGTATTGGTCTCCTCCATTAATACTGCAGTGTTGATGCTGCGCGGTACCATTGAGTCGGTTCAGACTCACAGTGACTCCCGAACAACAGAGGAAACACGGTCTGGGTCTGCACCGTCTTCCTAGTTGTTGTATTTGAGCCCACTGTTGTAGCCATTGTGTCGATCCATGTATTTTGCTAATGTCTTCACTGCAGCTTGGATTTTAGGCTTCCATACCATTGGTTCTGGATCAGATGCTACCTCGTGAATTGGTTGAACGTCAACCAATTCATTTTTTGCTACAGCGATTCTCTGTATTCCAACAATCCTCTTTTGAGGCTTCCTGTATCAGCCAGTCAATAATGTTGACAGACTGTCTCTGTAGTTTTAAACACTGTTTTCAGACAGTGTTCTCTGGTTGGTCTTAGGAACACCACTTGTCTTCCTAGCTAAATAGTAACTCCCTTACGACATTAATAAGACTTTTGGTTGGCTAGCTAGCTACATTCCAACTATATCCCAAGCCATTTCTAGATTGTTACATTTCTGAGAGGAGCCCTGGTGGTACAATGGTTCAACCAAAAGGTTGGCAGTTCGAACCCACCCGCCACTTTGCTGGATAAAGACAAGGCAGCCGGTTTCGGTAAAGACTGAAAGCGTGGAAGTCCCTATGGAGTAGTTCTACTCTGCCCTATTGGGTCACTACCCGTTGGCATCAACGTAATGGTAGGTTTGGGGTTGGCTTTTCTTTTGTTGTTGTTGCTTGTTTTGTTTTGCCTTATAATATGTCCTGAGAAATATTAAGGGACTTGCCTTAATAAAAACACAAGGATCAAGATTATTATAGTCTGCTTTCTCTTTGCTCCATCTTCGTTCATTAATTGCTATCTAGATTTTTGGTCATTGCAGTATTATTTGATATTAGGTGGTTTCTTGTCCCTGGGGTCTCAGAAAGATGGGATGGACTGGGAGGGTTGAGCCTGTACCTTGAAGAGAGGGTGCAGTCCTGGGAGGCACCTCATGGTGGCGACAGCGATGACCTCGGCCACTAGATGCGTATTCAGCAAATGATACTGGAGCTCGTGCACTTGGAAGTCTGCGTTGCGGACCCAGCACTTTGCCAAGAGCCAAGCCAGTGGAGGGTCAGAGGGCTGGAAGAGGGTTGGGGTGGGGGAGCTGGAGTTGGGAGGCTGGAGCTGGGGAAAGAAAAATTACGTTTTGATTGAACTTCCACTGTTTCTGGAACATTGTGCTCAGCATTCTAGAAAAAAACACAATAACAGGCATGACTAAGATAACATGACCGCCTTCCAAAACCAAGCTCAAAACTCACTGCCATCGCATCGATGCCCATGCAGAGCGACCCTATAGGAACGGGGTACAACTATCCCTGTGAATTTCCCAGACTGTAACGATGTATGGGAGTAGAAAGCCCCATCTTTCTCCCAGCGAGCGGCTGGTGGTTTCCAACAGCAGACCTGGGATCACAGCCCAACGCAAAACCACCATACCAGGAGCGCTCCTCTACTGCCTTCCAGGGAACTGGAATGGAGTGTGAGGATCGAAGCCCTGCAGTCCTGCCTCTGATTCACTTGGGGCTGTGTGAGCACCTTGCTGGTTTGCTGGAATGCAGGAGAGACTGGGAGCAGGCACCAGGAAGCAGGACTGATAGTGGCTTGGAAACATGTGATGGTGGAATGGGAAGAAGCAGCTGGATGTGAGGGAGAACTGACAGACTTCATCCCCCTGACTGGTGGGGAGAATGGAGGGAGAAGATACTCCTGAGAGAA